AAAAAAAAAAAAAAAAAAGAATACAGATTCCCAATTTTCCAGAATTTACAATCTTGCAGGAAGATAGACATCGAACAAGCAATATAGTCAAATGTGGTGAGTGTAAGACTAAGAACAAGATGCTCTAAGACTAAACAGTGTATACAGGGTGGGTAGAGAAGTGGTTTCTAACCTAGTTAGAAGTTTGGGAAAAACCTCTCTAACGGAGAGACATTTGAGCGGTCACCTGAAGGATGAATAACTGCTGGGCAAAGGTGAGAAGGAGGCAATACAGGAGAGAGATTGTTCTGTGTGAGGGAACTCTATATGCCAAGTTGCAGAAACGAGATCTGTTCAAAGATCTGAGAGAGGCTCAGAGAGAGAAAAGGAGAGGAGTGTGAGAGAAGATGGGCCAATTGTATAGGAGATAGATCGGGAAGCTTACTGGAATTAATAAGCTTTAGGGAGTTTTATCTCCAATCTGTGCACAATGAGTGGCAAGCCACTGGAGCTCTGTATACAGTAGTGGGAAGCGCTAAGTACTCAGAAGTGTTTTTAACCCATTGACTGCCACACTAGAAAAAAAAAATTTTTCCTTGGAGCCACGGTGTTTTATTACGAAAATAGAATAAAAACTTCAAAAACAAAACAATCCTTTCTAATTTAATGAAAAATTTGTTATTTTTTATTTTCTGTGCATGGGTTATATGCAACTTGAAAAACAGTTCACTCCACTCCCAAGGTAAAGAGATATGTGAGTTACATATGTCTCATGAAGACCGGAGCTCAAAACTAGCGTGAGTTAAATACAACTCACATGACAGTTAATGTGGTAAAAAAAAGCACTGTGACCAGTTGGGGGACAGGATAGCAGGAAAGTGAGACTGTGGCATGGCCTAAGATGGAAAGTTTTGGCCGAACGTCAGAAACAAAACGTTTGCTTTCTCCTTTGCTCAGGTCTTGCCACAATCCTTTCTTCCACACACACGTGCCCAAAACATTGTAGACGATGGAGAAATTATCATGTTGAGGATATTTAGGATCATTAAAAAGAGTTTAATAAATATTGTCACAAATAATGAATGTTAATTGAAGAGATGTAAAGACTTCTGAAATTTAGTCCCTAAGTGAATGCTTCCCTCTTAAAATGGACTAGAAAGAATTTGTTTCAGCCTAAGCCAGCATAGTACTGGACATAGTACTTTTACCTACTGGGTCACATGGTACAAGGGACACAGGGAAGAACTTAGAAAACTACACTCCAAAGGGTTATGAAAGAGACTCATTAAAATCACAAGTCCACTGTTATGAGGCAGGAGTTCTAAAGGTGAGGACTCTGGTATAAGTGAACTTCAAGATGTTCATAAACCTTCAGAAATTGTA